ACATTTAGCTTATTACTTTCAATTTATGATTAATAATTTTTCCCTGTTAAATGTGTTTTCAATCTCTATTTTGCCACATCTTTTAAAACTTTACTTTAAATTATCTTGCATTTTCTCATTTGTAAAGTACTTTGAATGACTGCTGTGTTTGAAAGAACGCATATTAATAAACTTGCCTTGCCTTGGGTACAAATAGTCCAAATAAATAAATACTTCAATAATCAAATGATATTCTGAGTGGAGGCACAGAGATTTTGGAGACGTTTTTTGGGTGAGAGAGCTGTGCACTTTTGATAGAGAGTCCTGCATGCTCTGAGATTTGGTTAGCCTACTTCAGAACTAGGCCAAGGCACATAAGCCTAACTCTCCCACTGTCCACCCCAAAATAGCTCGTCCAATTGCAAACACCGGTGTAACAGGCAACAGCAGATTCCAGAGACTGAATAAATGGATGGCCATTGTGGTATCCCAGTGAAGTTAATTAAGACAGGACGCGTTAATGATCCAATTAGATCATCTAATTCATCACAGCTCACAGTGATTCTGAAGGTAATGATCCTGTGGGAATGATACGAGTTATTGCAGGCTTATTCATAAATCTTAATCAATGCCTTATAACTATCCATTAGCACTTTATAGGGAGATTTAATGGCAATAAAAATAGAAACAAAAGGTTCAGAATGTCGAATCTGCAGGGAGGGGTTCACACAAAATGAGATGGATGCCTTTTCTTTGTTTCCCATTAAAACAATGGGGGTTAATATTAATTCAGTACTGCACTCTATTAAAAGGCCCATAGCCTGCATTTTGTGTGTTTTCATATATGATACTTTTGGTTTTATATACCAAAAATATGAGAATTTTCCAGCAGCTCCTTCAAGCTTGAAATTAAATATGCTTGCTTTATTACTATGCCTTTAAGACCTACATATAACCTTTGTTCTGATTGTTGTCTGTCTTGTATTGTGTGCTTCATTTAAAAAGCAATCTGAGCTATATATGTGTGTGTGTGTGTGTGTGTGTGTATAGCAGCGATATATATATATATATGTGTATATAGTGTATGTAGTATATATCGCTGCTGTCGGAACAAAACCTTGTCTCCATAGTTGATAGTTGTAACAGCATATTTTCACTTATATAATCACACATTTGAAATAGGCTAATTACACTTATATGAACTGCTGTTTTACCAGACCTTAATAATCATAATGGTTGTATAAATACCTGTATTATAAAAGTACTTACACTACATCTGCACAGGAAATGGCAGCTTTCCGATCATTTAGCCACTATAGTAATTTGCTTGTGTTGTTACAAATTGGCAACCAAAGTCCTGACTGTTTCTGACTATTCTGTGATCAACACATCAACAGCAAATATTTTTTAAAATACCTTTATGCATATTTATATATATCAGCGCTGCTGTCAGGAACAAAACCTTGTATCTCCAAAATGCTAACTTTACAGGAGAAGGAAAAAACATACTTTTCAATGTAAGTCAATGGAACCAGACTTTTTACCAAGCCATTTTGGGCCATTTTTTTTTGGTCCATTCATCATGAAATTTACACACAATGTAAAGGGCAATAGTTACCTTCAAATTATGTCAGAAACTGACAGAAAAATACATTGGCAAAAATGGATATGATTTTTTTCGGACAGCAGCAATATATATATATTTACACACACACACACACACACATATATATTTTGTAATTACATCACACCTACATAACAACTACATGTATCCATACTACAGATATGCTTTTAGGTTTAAACTGCTGTAATCCATCTGTATCAGTGAATACATCACCAGTAGACACCAGTTACATTGTTGTTAATGTGTAACTACACAGTCATTAGAAACACTTAATACAAAGTGGGACCAAACTTCTTAGAACATACAGAATCTATCAGCATAGGAACTGAAGTTCATACGGCTCTATTCTTCTCTTTTCTGGTTCTTTTGATCTGAAAAGTGTGAGATGTGAGCAGCAGTAAAGCAGTGTAGGAGCTGAACCGACACAATAGAATAAAACTAAACCTGAAAAAAGACAGTTTGGAACTGAATGTGAGAGGCTAAACTTTAAAGTAGAAGTAAAAGTATTATTATTTGAATCTACTCAGAAAAGTACGAGCTCATCCAAAGTTATTTTATAGATTAATGATGATGGGCTTGAAAAGGAATGAAACTAAATTGTTTTACAGTGCAGCCCAGAAGGGTCAGCACTGCAGAGTTTACTCTCCACCTCATTTAACACACCAGATTCAGCTCATTAGTAAAGCCTCTGTGAGTTGAATCCAATGTGTTCAGAGGGGAACACTGATCTGTCCAAGGCTTTGGGCCTCTGTGACCTGCATTTAAGACCAGCGTTTATGACCTGCATCTCAAAAATAAAGGCTTCTAGATAGTTCTTGGCTGGAAGTTTAGTTCTAGATAAACATTTTAATTGGTATAGAACCTTATGTAGAGGTTCTTTAACTCAAACATATCATTTATAATGGTTCTTTTAAATCTACTCCATCTACTCGAAGGGTCATCAAGGAACCAAAAGTGGTTCCTGTATGGCGTTGCTCCAAAGATATGGTGAGAATTCAGGACCATGGACAGTGACACTAATGCTCATTAACTGATTACTGTAGGACTAATTTGATAGCCTAATCAGGGGTCCCCAAATGCTTTCTTGGGGGGCAATGTGTAATGTTTGTAGTAGGCCCAGTGCCAAAAAGACATAAGAAAGTAGGTAGGTATTATATATAATTTTGGGCAGCCCTGGCTAAATCAATACGGCAGTAAAAAATAGTTAATTTAATGAAGTAATGACTTAATTAGAATTAAAAGTACATATCTGGTGTTTGTCCTTTCAGATCCACTAAAATTGAGGTCAGCTGAGGAGGAACAACATCAGACATCATATGACATACTGTTATTACATATTGGTACACACACACACACACACACACACACACACACACACACACACACACACATACATAGGGCAGCAAGGTGGCACAGTGGGTAGTGCTGTTGCCTCACAGCACGAATGGCCTGGGTTCGATTCCCGGCCGGGCGGCCAGGGTCGTTTCTGTGTGGAGTTTGCATGTTCTCCCCGTGTCTGTGTGGGTTTCCTCCGGGTACTCCGGTTTCCTCCCACTGTCCAAAAACATGCAGTTAAGCTAACTGGACACGCTAAATTGCCCCTAGGTGTGAATGTGTCTGTCTGCCCTGCGATGGACTGGCGACCTGTCCAGGGTGTATCCTGCCTTCTGCCCAATGACAGCCGGGATAGGCTCCAGTACCCCACCGCGACCCAGTAGGATAAGCGGTTTAGATGATGTATGTATGTATACATATATATATATGGTAACTTTACAGGAGAAGGAAAAAAACTACTTTAATTTTTTTGTAAGTCAATAAAATTAAATATATATATGGTACATGTGGTAAATATTGTTATTACACACAGATACTTACATATTGCTGCTGTCGGAACAAAACCTTATATCTCCATTTTTGCCATTTTTTTTTACATAATTTGAAAATGTCATTTGCCCTTTACATTGGACCAAAAGAAATGGCCCAAAATGACCAAAATGAAAAAGTCTGGGTCCACTGACTTACAATAAAATTAAAGTAGGTTTTTTCCTTCTCCTGTAAAGTTACCATTTGGAAGATACAAGGTTTTGTTCTGACAACAGTGATATGCATAATACATGTTGGACAGATCAGCATTACAAATAAGTACTTACATATAAACAATACATATAGGGCATATTGTTATTACATATACATAATACATGTGGGACATCAGTATTACATATGTGTATATATATATATATATTACATATAGGTACTTACATACATATTATGTATGACGTATGTATCCCAGTCGCCACACGGTGGAGCAAATCCACTCCAAACTTTATTCTCACTTCACTCCAAACCCAGTCAAGCACTAAAACAAACTTGCTGAAGCCTCGCTGCTTCTGACGCCTTTGGGGGCTTTTCTGCACTTTTAAGAGTTCAGTTCAGCTCCACACCGCTGCTGCCGCTGGAGGGAGGGATGGATGGACGGATTTACACTTTCTTGAGCTTTTACTTTGCTCTTTTATTGCCTGTTGCATTTAACACGAGGCTATAAAGAGCGCTGCCTTTTTCTCTGAGTGGATCGCACGTTCACCACTAACGGTGCGTCTTTTTAAAGCAAGAACTTTTTCTCTCGGATTGTGCTTTCAGGAACAGCCACACCGGTGCGTCTCTGCCTTTTTGCTGCATTCAAAACGAGGCTAGAGGCGCATCTGCACTTTTTGGCTTGTCTTGTATTAGGGGTCCAAGCACGCAGTGCAGGAAGCCTGTTGTTTTTTATTTATTCAGTTTCTTTGGTTTTCGGGCGCGTCTCATTGGATTGCAATGGTTCAAACCGTCACCTCTGTGCAGCTGTGCGTTATGGTGCTGCATTTTTAAGCGAGACTGCAAACAGTGCTACTTTTCTCCTTTCTCAATCACCTTGGTGCATTTTCTTCGTTGCCTTTTTGTCGTTTGCATTTGAAACGAGTTTAATCTGCACTGCTTTCTCTCTGGACTCTGTTCAGTTGAAGTCGGGCTGTAAACAATCCTGCATCGTCTTCCCTTCTCTTTTCTTGTTGCATTTAAAACGAGACTAAAAATAATGAATGGATGAAAGGATGAATGGATTGCACTCCAGTCTCCAAACACCCCCTGCTTCTTTGTTGCTGCTGCGCTTAAAACGAGCCTAGAAACATCACCGCTTTCTCTGGATGGATTGCACTTCCTCAACAGCAGCTGCTCTTTTTTGTTGGTGGTGCATTCAGAAAGCCACACTGTAAGCAATGCTGCCTTTTCTCTCTCCCTCGTGCTGCACTTTTCCCCCTCAGTCAGCACTAATGAACCCCTCCAGATGTGAGTGCTCCCACTAGCCCCCCTCTCTCTCTCCCCCTCTCTCTCTCTCACTCTCTCTCTCGCTCTCTCCCCCTCCATGATCGTGTCCTCCGCGGAGGCGCGCTCGGACTCGAGCACCCCGCGCGCGCTCAGCCCCACCGGCCACGCGCTGGTGGCCGCGTGCCTCGGTCTGATCGGCGCGCTCGGCATCCTCAATAACCTGCTGGTGCTCGTGCTGTTCGGCCGCTACAAGGCGCTGCGCTCGCCCATCAACCTGCTGCTGCTCAACATCTCCGTCAGCGACCTGCTGGTGTGCGCGCTCGCCACGCCGTTCAGCTTCGCTGCCAGCGCGCGCGGACGCTGGCTGATCGGAGAGGAGGGCTGCGTGTGGTACGGCTTCGCCAACTCGCTGCTGGGTGAGTGAGCGCGGAGAGCGCGCGGCGACTGCGTTAATGGCTGGAGCGCTTAATTGGTGTCGCGTTAACTCAGCGTTGCATTCACAGTGATGCATTAGCGCATGCAGTATTGCAAGAACACCTATAATGTTGAACTAGTGATGCATAACCCACGCAGCGGTGCATTAACACGTGTAGTGTTGATTTAGACTTGAATGGACACCTAAATTGTTGCATTAAGTCTTGCAGTGTTGCATTGACACTGGTGCTGCATTACCTACAATGAGTTGTCACTTATGATGTTTATTTGGTGCTACCTTAACACCTGTATTGCTGCATTGTTTACATTGTTAATTAACACATACTGTTGCATTAACTTGTGAAATGTAAACTAATGCCTAGTGTTTACTTAGTGTTGCATTAGTGCTGCATTAACTCTTGCAATGTTGCATTGAAACTGAGTGTTGAATTAATGCTGCATTAAAAGCAATAATGTTGTCCTAAGACTTATAATGTTGAAGGTGTTGCACTAACACCTGCAATATTGCATTAAATCTTGCAATGTTGCATTAAAAAAGATAGTATCGAAGTAAGTCTGCATGGCAGTAGTGTTGTATTGAGACCTAAAATTATGTGTTGCACATGTATAGTGCTGCAGTGTTGCATTGACACCAGTAGTGTCAATGCAATAATAGTCATAGTCATAATGGTTAATCTGCACCTAGTGTTGCAATAGTGATGCATTAGCACAGTATTGCAAGAACACCTATAATGTTGAACTAGTGATGCATAACCCATGCAGCGGTACATTAACACATGTAGTGTTGATTTAGTCTTGAATGGACACCTAAATTGTTGCATTAAGTCTTGCAGTGTTGCATTGACACTGGTGCTGCATTACCTACAATGAGTTGTCACTTATGATGTTCAGTTAGTGCTCTCTGAACACCTGGACTGCTGCATTATTTACTCATCCAGTGTTGAATTAATGCATATAATACTGCATTAACTTGTGAAATGTCAACTAACGCTTACAGTGTTTACTTAGTGTTGCATTAGTGTTGCATTAACTCTTGCAATGTTGCATTGAAACTAATAGCATTAAGTTAGTGCTGCATTAATAGTGATACTGTTGTCCTAAGATCTATAATGTTGAAGGTGTTGCACTTGTAATATGGCATTAAATCTTGCAATGCTGCAATAAAATGGATAGTATAGAATTAAGGCTGCATGGCAGTAGTGTTGTATTGAGACCTAAAATTATGTGTTGCACATGTATAATGTTGCAGTATTGTATTGACACCAGTAGTATTACATTAGTGTCGCAATGATAGTCATAGTCATAATGGTTAATCTGCACCTAGTGCTGCATTAGTGATGCAGAAACTCTTGCATTAACATGTAATGTTGCAATATCTCCTTCAATATTGCATGGACATGTATTGCACTGCATTAACAGCTACAATGCTGAATTAAGGTCCATTGTGCTGGTGTTGTATTAACGTTTATAGTGTGGCTTTAGTGTTTGATTAACTCTTGCAATGTTGCATAACACCTACCATGTTAATTTATCTATTGCAATGTTGTGTGAACAGATTTGGTGTTGCATTATCACCTGTAGTGTTGACTGAGTGCTAACAGCTTTAACGATGATTTGGTGTTGCATTAATACATAGAGCATTGCATTAACACAAATAGTGCTGCATTAATGCTCATTGTGGTGCCTTAACACATGTGTTAGTGTTGTTAACACAGGGTTGCATTAATACATGTTGTATAACATGTATTACCATGCATTGCATTGTGTAGCATCAATGCATAAAGTGTTGTTACTACAGTGTTGCATTGACATGCACTGTGTTGCACTAACATATATAGTGTTGCATGAACTCACTTTACATTGTGTTAACATGCATTGCATTGCCTTAACATACTGTTGCATTAACGCACATTGTGTTGCATTAACACATACAATGGTGAATTACTTTTATATTAACATCTACATCACTAAAATCCAGCTACACCCAAATGAGTTCTGTTATTGGCTTTCATTAGTCGGGCTTTTGCTGAGTTCTACTTTTTGTTGTGCAACATCTATGTGTGGTATTCATTGTTATTATGTTGTTATGCTAGAGTCACACAGATTGACGACCCTTCTCATCATCCTGTGATGTTTTTCAATCCTGGGATTTGGTCTTAAAAATAGATGCAAGGCAAAAATAAGACATTAGAGAATGCTTTATGGAAGTTAGAAGTGAAATGCGTGCTCAGACCTGTATGCACAGAGATGAAAAACCCATGCCGCATTTACTAACTTGTTTATGACTTACCGAATCTGCCTGTTAATTGGGTTTTATAATTGCAGTGTTCACTTCCTGAACCACTGGGACTGTAGCTAGAATGGAGCTGCATATAGATGGCAGTAAATCTAGACTCAAAGCTCAGAATGTTTAAATCAAAGTAAGTTTAGATCCAGAGTGAGTTTAAAGAGTATTGCTTCTGTTATGTGATGTAATATCAGTCAATCACTGATTGGTGGTAGTACACATAAAAAGTGGCTCATCAAATCTACCTAAAAAATGACTTCATGTGGTAACAAGTAAATTAACTAGTTTTATTCAACCTAAATAAATACTTTGAATGAACGATTCTTTCAATCAATGTAGTTTTTAAGTTGAATAAAACTAGTTCAATTGCTTACCACATGAAGTCGTTTTTAGGTGGATCTGAGGAGCCACTTTTTACAATGTAGATGTGCTATTTTCTCTTGTTGTCCTATGACTAATTTGTAAATGTAGCTACAAGGGTGGAAAAATGAAATTTGAACGTAGTTATTTAAATACATTGATTTTAAAATCACTAATAACTGATTATAATTGCACTGTAAAAAGTGGCTCATCAGATCTACCTAAAAAAAACTACTTTGATTGAAAGAATCATTCATTCATGATTTATTTAGGTTGAATAAAACTAGATAATTTACCTGTTACCAAATGAAGTAACTTTTAAAGTACATCTTGGGAGCCACTTTTTACACTGTGATTCTAGTTCAATCCAATTTCAATCCAATGTTCAATTTTTGGCCAATAATACAATTTTTGGATTTTTTTAAAAATCAAAACACCTTTTTATTCCAGTACATTTTCTACTACTGTGTAAATAGTTAAGCCAATTTTTAGTAAGAATTCTGAATCATACCAAAATAATCAAATAAAAATTTTGTAAAATTTCAAATTTGAGAACCAGCATTAGATTCTGTCAATATTGGGAAATGTTTACACTTCTAAAATATATATACAGTCAGTGGGGCACTTGCTTCAGCATCTGCCAATTGGTTTGCATTATAAATAAATTTTGAGTTAGTGGGTTTTCTGATCTTTTCTGTTTTGCATAAAAATTGCTGTCCATGTTAAGTGACTGTTTGTGGCAGATGTAGCAGAGAGAGATTAGATTGAAAAACACTGGTATACCCCTTTGAGTTCACATCTTATACTTTGGTAAGATTACAAACGACATTGCTAGCCTGAAGTAGTGTGTGCCGTATGTTTGAGAAGATTATATTAAGTAAGAACAGAACACTGGATATGAATTGAAACAATGACAATAAGTCAAAGTGGCAACTGTCAGCTCTAATTTGAGGTTGTGTATATTCATATCAAGTGTGTCTTGCAGTATTGGCAACCCTTTTACCTAGTTCTCCCAATTTAGAGAACAAAACTCAATTGGACAGTTGCCTGCTCACTTGTTTCTTGGCCAGCTGTGTCCAGTCACATTAATAGTTGAAGCACGACAGAGCTAACAATGGTCAGGGTGAGGCTGCACAATATATCTTTTGTTAAATCTTATTTCAATATTTGCATTTGCAATATTGATACTAGAGAAAGCCACATTATGCAATCTAATTTTTTTTTGCTGTGTGATGTGAGCATCCTGACCAATCACAGTTCCAGATGTGATTCTGGATTCATGTCAGACAACAAAAGCAAAATTATACAGACTAATCATTAATCACATGACATCATTTCACTACTGTGCTTTTGATATACTGCAAGGCATATTGCAGTCGCTAGTAAGCCTCAAGAACAGCAGCCAGGTTACATGTTACCCACAAATACTTGGAAAAAGCCCATTTTGGGGCAAAGTGTTAAGGAAAGATGAGACAAATATTAACTTAGAATAGAGCGATGAAATGGAAAAATGTTGATAAAAAGGACATGCTCGATCTATAGCTTACTAGGTCTTCTGCGAAACATGGCGAAGGTAGTGCCATGTATGGCTGCAGTGGAACTGGATCATGTGTCTTTAATGGCTGAATTCAAAAGTGAATAGAAACATCTTAACTACACAGGCCTTTCTAAATGCTTCAAAACTGTTTGAAAGTTTCTTCACCTTGCAGCAGTGAAAGAATTTTCATGACCAAAATGTGGACTGGCAAAGGCAGTCACTCAGCCCGAACCTCAGTGAGTAGCATTTCACTTATTGAAGGGACTGAAGGGAAAACGTCCATGAAATGAGCAGGAAATGGCTACATTACAGGCCTGACAGACTATCACGAGGGAAGAAGTCCTTCATTTGTTTCTGAAGAAATGAATGATGAGGATGATGGATGTAATCAGGGCTCCGCTGGACAGGGTGCTGTACAGAACACTCCACTGCCCTCAAGGTGCAGCTGCTTAAGGTTGGATGCTGTAATTCTGAAACCCGAAGACCATATTTTTGTAAAACTATCCAAACCTCACCCTGGATATATTTTATACTAGGAATGCACTAACCTTTGGCCACTGAAAATCTTTGGCTGAAAACAATACACTTTATGACCAAAAGTTTGTGGACCCATGACAGTCACACTTATATGAGCTTGTTGGACATCCTATTCCAAAACCATGGGCATCAATAGCCACGTTTACATGCAGCCTGATAATCCGTTAATAATCCGACTAATAGCTCAATCGGAATAGAATACGTCCATGTAAACACCTCAATCGGAATAGTCTAATCCGATTGAGGCCATTCGGAATACA